CTGGTGGGACTGAAGCAACTTACCTGTGTTACCTGGTGGACTGAAGCAACTTACCTGTGTTACCTGGTGAACTGAAGCAACTTACCTGTGTTACCTGGTGGACTGAAGCAACTTACCTGTGTTACCTGGTAGACTGAAGCAACTTACCTGTGTTACCTGGTGGACTGAAGCAACTTACCTGTGTTACCTGGTGTACTGAAGCAACTTACCTGTGTTACCTGGTGGACTGAAGCAACTTACCTGTGTTACCTTGTGGACTGAAGCAACTTACCTGTGTTACCTGGTGGACTGAAGCAACTTCCTGTGTTACCTGGTGGACTGAAGCAACTTACCTGTGTTACCTGGTGGAATGAAGCAACTTACCTGTGTTACCTGGTGGACTGAAGCAACTTCCCTGTGTTACCTGGTGGACTGAAGCAACTTACCTGTGTTACGTGGTGTACTGAAGCAACTTACCTGTGTTACCTGGTGGACTGAAGCAACTTACCTGTGTTACCTGGTGGACTGAAGCAACTTACCTGTGTTACCTGGTGGACTGAAGCAACTTACCTGTGTTACCTGGTGGACTGAAGCAACTTACCTGTGTTACCTGGTGGACTGAAGCAACTTACCTGTGTTACCTGGTGGATTGAAGCAACTTAACTGTGTTACCTGGTGGACTGAAGCAACTTACCTGTCTTACCTGGTGGACTGAAGGAACTTACCTGTGTTACCTGGTGGACTGAAGCAACTTACCTGTGTTACCTGGTGGACTGAAGCAACTTACCTGTGTTACCTGGTGGACTGAAGCAACTTACCTGTGTTACCTGGTGGACTGAAGCAACTTACCTGTGTTACTGGTGGACTGAAGCAACTTACCTGTGTTACCTGGTGGACTGAAGCAACTTACCTGTGTTACCTGTGGACTGAAGCAACTTACCTGTGTTACCTGGTGGACTGAAGCAACTTACCTGTGTTACCTGGTGGACTGATGCGACTTACCTGTGTTACCTGGTGGACTGAAGCAACTTACCTGTGTTACCTGGTGGACTGATGCGACTTACCTGTGTTACCTGGTGGACTGAAGCAACTTACCTGTGTTACCTGGTGGACTGATGCGACTTACCTGTGTTACCTGGTGGACTGAAGCAACTTACCTGTGTTACCTGGAGGACTGAAGCAACTTACCTGTGTTACCTGGTGGACTGAAGCAGCTTACCTGTGTTACCTGGTGGACTGAAGCAACTTACCTGTGTTACCTGGTGGACTTAAGCAACTTACCTGTGTTACCTGGTGGACTGAAGCAACTTACCTATGTTACCTGGTGGACTGAAGCAACTTACCTGTGTTACCTGGTGGACTGAAGCAACTTACCTGTTTTACCTGGTGGACAGAAGCAACTTACCTGTATTACCTGGTGGACTGAAGCAACTTACCTGTATTACCTGGTAGACTGAAGCAACTTACCTGTGTTACCTGGTGGACTGAAGGAACTTACCTGTGTTACCTGGTGGATTGAAGCAACCTACCTGTGTTACCTGCTGGACTGAAGCAACTTACCTGTGTTACCTGGTGGACTGAAGCAACTTACCTGTGTTACCTGGTGGACTGAAGCAATTTACCTGTGTTACCTGGTGGACTGAAGCAACTTACCTGTGTTACCTGGTGGACTGAAGCAACTTACCTGTGTTACCTGGTGGACTGAAGCAACTTACCTGTTTTACCTGGTGGACTGAAGCAACTTACCTGTGTTACCTGGTGGACTGAAGCAACTTACCTGTGTTACCTGGTGGACTGAAGCAACTTACCTGTGTTACCTGGTGGACTGAAGCAACTTACCTGTGTTACCTGGTGGACTGAAGCAATTTACCTGTATTACCTGGTGGACTGAAGCAACTTACCTGTGTTACCTGGTGGACTGAGCAACTTACCTGTGTTACCTGGTGGACTGAAGCAACTTACCTGTGTTACCTGGTGGACTGAAGCAACTTACCTGTGTTACCTGGTGGACTGAAGCAACTTACCTGTGTTACCTGGTGGACTGAAGCAACTTACCTGTGTTACCTGGTGGACTGAAGCAACTTACCTGTGTTACCTGGTGGACTGAAGCAACTTACCTGTGTTACCTGGTGGACTGAAGCAACTTACCTGTGTTACCTGGTGGACTGAAGCAACTTACCTGTGTTTACCTGGTGGACTGAAGCAATTTACCTGTGTTACCTGGTGGACTGAAGCAACTTACCTGTGTTACCTGGTGGACTGAAGCAACTTACCTGTGTTACCTGGTGGACTTAAGCAAATTACCTGTGTTACCTGGTGGACTGAAGCAACTTACCTGTGTTACCTGGTGGACTGAAGCAACTTACCTGTGTTTACCTGGTGGACTGAAGCAACTTACCTGTGTTACCTGGTGGACTGAAGGAACTTACCTGTGTTACCTGGTGGACTGAAGCAACTTACCTGTGTTACCTGGTGGACTGAAGGAACTTACCTGTGTTACCTGGTGGACTGAAGGAACTTACCTGTGTTACCTTGTGGATTGAAGGAACTTACCTGTGTTACCTGGTGGACTGAAGCACCTTACCTGTGTTACCTGGTGTACTGAAGCAACTTACCTGTGTTACCTGGTGGACTGAAGCAACTTACCTGTGTTACCTGGTGGACTGAAGCAACTTACCTGTGTTACCTGGTGGACTGAAGCAACTTACCTGTGTTACCTGGTGGACTGAAGGAACTTACCTGTGTTACCTGGTGAACTGAAGCAACTTACCTGTGTTACCTGGTGGACTGAAGGAACTTACCTGTGTTACCTGGAGGACTGAAGGAACTTACCTGTGTTACCTTGTGGATTGAAGGAACTTACCTGTGTTACCTGGTGGACTGAAGCAACTTACCTGTGTTACCTGGTGGACTGAAGCAACATACCTGTGTTACCTGGTGAACTGAAGCAACTTACCTGTGTTACCTGGTGGACTGAAGCAACTTACCTGTGTTACCTGGTGGACTGAAGCAACTTACCTGTGTTACCTGGTGAACTGAAGCAACTTACCTGTGTTACCTGGTGGACTGAAGCAACTTACCTGTGTTACCTGGTAGACTGAAGCAACTTACCTGTGTTACCTGGTGGACTGAAGCAACTTACCTGTGTTACCTGGTGTACTGAAGCAACTTACCTGTGTTACCTGGTGGACTGAAGCAACTTACCTGTGTTACCTTGTGGACTGAAGCAACTTACCTGTGTTACCTGGTGGACTGAAGCAAACTTACCTGTGTTACCTGGTGGACTGAAGCAACTTACCTGTGTTACCTGGTGGACTGAAGCAACTTACCTGTGTTACCTGGTGGACTGAAGCAACTTACCTGTGTTTACTGGTGGACTGAAGCAACTTACCTGTGTTACGTGGTGGACTGAAGCAACTTACCTGTGTTACCTGGTGGACTGAAGCAACTTACCTGTGTTACCTGGTGGACTGAAGCAACTTACCTGTGTTACCTGGTGGACTGAAGCAACTTACCTGTGTTACCTGGTGGACTGAAGCAACTTACCTGTGTTACCTGGTGGACTGAAGCAACTTACCTGTGTTACCTGGTGGATTGAAGCAACTTAACTGTGTTACCTGGTGGACTGAAGCAACTTACCTGTCTTACCTGGTGGACTGAAGCAACTTACCTGTGTTACCTGGTGGACTGAAGCAACTTACCTGTGTTACCTGGTGGACTGAAGCAAACTTACCTGTGTTACCTGGTGGACTGAAGCAACTTACCTGTGTTACCTGGTGGACTGAAGCAACTTACCTGTGTTACCTGGTGGACTGAAGCAACTTACCTGTGTTACCTGGTGGACTGAAGCAACTTACCTGTGTTACCTGGTGGACTGAAGCAACTTACCTGTGTTACCTGGTGGACTGAAGCAACTTACCTGTGTTACCTGGTGGACTGATGCGACTTACCTGTGTTACCTGGTGGACTGAAGCAACTTACCTGTGTTACCTGGTGGACTGATGCGACTTACCTGTGTTACCTGGTGGACTGAAGCAACTTACCTGTGTTACCTGGTGGACTGATGCGACTTACCTGTGTTACCTGGTGGACTGAAGCAACTTACCTGTGTTACCTGGTGGACTGAAGCAACTTACCTGTGTTACCTGGTGGACTGAAGCAACTTGCATTAAATAATTTCATGAATATCTAAATCAAGTATTTCTTGTTAAACTAATGTTATCGTTTCCTCCTCCTGCTTCTTTTCTGTTCCTGCTTTTCTTCCTCTTCTTCTTCCTTCTCTTCCTCCTCCTCCTCCTCCTCTTCCTCCCCTTCCCTTACTTTCCCATATTTCTCTTTCCTGACCTCATCTCCTCCTCTTCATATACTCTCCTCCTCTTACCTGTCTTCCTCCTCCTCCTTTTACTCCACATCTTTTCCACCTTTTCCTCTTAACTACTCTTTCCTTCCCTTCTGATCCTCACTTTTCGTCGCCTCTCTCTCTCTCTCTCCTCTCTCTCTCTCTCTCTCCTCTCTCTCTCTCTCTCCCTCTCTCTTTCTCTCTCTCTCTCTCTCTCTGCCTTCCACCCACTCTTTTTCCTACTAATCCTGGCTTCCCGCTCCCCCTTCCCTTTGCTCCTGGCTTTCCCTTTCATTCTTTCTTGTTACTGGCTTACTTTTATTCGTCTTGACCCCTGGCCTTCCCCATTTATTCACCCTTGTTCTTTTTTTTTTCCTTTTATTTATCTTTGTTCTTCATTTTCCGTTTAATTCTTGACCTTGGTTTTTCCCTTTTATTCTTGTCCGTGGCTTTGACTTTTATTCACCCTTCTTCTTGCCTTTCCCTTTTATTCACCCTTTTTCTTGGATTTCCACTTTTATTCACCCTTTTTCCTGGTTTTCCCTTTTTTTCACACATTCATTGCTTCCCCTTCCTTTTCTCACTTGATTCTGGCTTATTCCCCTCGCCTGCTCCTTGCTCTCTCCTTTTGCTCCCCTTGCTCCTGGCTTTCCTGTTGCTCCTGGCTTCCCGTCACTTGCAGGCTGGTGCTGGGACAGTACGTCAGCGTGGACGGGGACGTCATCTCGCACGTCAACGTCAGTAACGTTGCGTCAGTGGACGGTGGCTTGTACCGCTGCTCCGCCACCAACACCGTCGGTACAGTGGACCACGCTGCCAGGCTCAATGTTTACGGTAAGTGAGAGAGAGAGAGAGGGAGAGAGAGAGAGAGAGAGAGAGAGAGAGAGAGAGAGAGAGAGAGAGAGAGAGAGAGAGAGAGAGAGAGAGAGAGAGAGAGAGAGAGAGAGAGAGAGTTTGGGGTGGGAAGACATAAAAGTTTGAGAAGGGAAACAGAAGATTAAGAAATATTCAGAGAAAAGGGATAAATTCGTAGGGGTCACACAAAGCTTGTGGAGTGGGTGGCTTCAAAACCTTTGAACAAGAGCTCTTCACCAACACCAAGAGACTGGGTGGCAGGGAAAAGAGAGACAGATAGAGACTGAAAGAAAGAGAGAGAGAGAGAGACTGAAAGAGGTCAAGAGGTGGTGAAGAGGTTAGAGAAGAAAAAAAATAGACGGAAAACAGTTGGGAATATATTATAAGAAGTAAATAAATGGAACAACAGAAGAAGACAACAGGGGAATGTAACGGAGGAATAAAACAGAATAGGCCAACAGAAGAGGGTAGCGACAACGTACAAGAAAAATAGACGAGATTGAAAAGAAGGTAAGAGAATAACAAAGGGAAAGGGAGTATTAGGGAGGAAGTAAGAAATGTTGAAGACTGACAAGTAAGGGAGAACAACAAGTGCATGACAGCAATACTAGAGAAGGGAGGAAAACAAACAGAATGGAAGGAAATGGAAGGAACTAGAAACAAGAGAGAAAATTTAGCGAAGGAAGAAAATCGGGAAGAGCAAATGAGAAATGGTAGGGAAGGAGCAGAGAAAAAGTACATGAAGGGAAAATGGGAAATCTCATTAAATAAATTATTACAAAAAAGATAATACGAAGAGAGAGAAAGAAAATGGAGAACAAAAAAAAAACGAATAAAAATTAGAAATAATAAGAAGAAATCTTAATGCCAGACGGGAGAAAATGCGATGGGGTCTCCGAGGAGGTAGTTCCGGGGGGCTCAGCGCCCCCGCGCCACGGTACCTGACCACATGGGGAAGTACCTAACTACATTTCATGTTTATCTAGATTTACATGGTTTTATTTTCTACATAAATAATGTTTATCTTGAATATTTTAATGTAAATGATGTATATTGAGCGGTTAGTAACGTTTTATTACTTACCAGCGTTTTATCTTATACCTAGACTTAGTGTTGCCAGACTGGTGAAGGTGTGTGTCAAGTGTTGCCAGACTGGTGAAGTTGTGTGTCAAGTGTTGCCAGACTGGTGAAGATGTGTGTCAAGTGTTGCCAGACTGGTGAAGTTGTGTGTCAAGTGTTGCCAGACTGGTGAAGTTGTGTGTCAAGTGTTGCCAGACTGGTGAAGTTGTGTGTCAAGTGTTGCCAGACTGGTGAAGATGTGTGTCAAGTGTTGCCAGACTGGTGAAGTTGTGTGTCAAGTGTTGCCAGACTGGTGAAGCTGTGTGTCAAGTGTTGCCAGACTGGTGAAGCTGTGTGTCAAGTGTTGCCAGACTGGTGAAGGTGTGTGTCAAGTGTTGCCAGACTGGTGAAGATGTGTGTCAAGTGTTGCCAGACTGGTGAAGATGTGTGTCAAGTGTTGCCAGACTGGTGAAGATGTGTGTCAAGTGTTGCCAGACTGGTGAAGGTGTGTGTCAAGTGTTGTCAGACTGGTGAAGATGTGTGTCAAGTGTTGCCAGACTGGTGAAGATGTGTGTCAAGTGTTGCCAGACTGGTGAAGTTGTGTGTCAAGTGTTGCCAACTGGTGAAGATGTGTGTCAAGTGTTGCCAGACTGGTGAAGTTGTGTGTCAAGTGTTGCCAGACTGGTGAAGATGTGTGTCAAGTGTTGCCAGACTGGTGAAGATGTGTGTCAAGTGTTGCCAGACTGGTGAAGATGTGTGTCAAGTGTTGCCAGACTGGTGAAGATGTGTGTCAAGTGTTGCCAGACTGGTGAAGCTGTGTGTCAAGTGTTGCCAGACTGGTGAAGCTGTGTGTCAAGTGTTGCCAGACTGGTGAAGATGTGTGTCAAGTGTTGCCAGACTGGTGAAGATGTGTGTCAAGTGTTGCCAGACTGGTGAAGTTGTGTGTCAAGTGTTGCCAGACTGGTGAAGGTGTGTGTCAAGTGTTGTCAGACTGGTGAAGGTGTGTGTCAAGTGTTGCCAGACTGGTGAAGATGTGTGTCAAGTGTTGCCAGACTGGTGAAGGTGTGTGTCAAGTGTTGTCAGACTGGTGAAGGTGTGTGTCAAGTGTTGCCAGACTGGTGAAGATGTGTGTCAAGTGTTGCCAGACTGGTGAAGTTGTGTGTCAAGTGTTGCCAGACTGGTGAAGGTGTGTGTCAAGTGTTGCCAGACTGGTGAAGGTGTGTGTCAAGTGTTGACAGACTGGTGAAGCTGTGTGTCAAGTGTTGCCAGACTGGTGAAGTTGTGTGTCAAGAGTTGCCAGACTGGTGAAACTGTGTCAAGTGTTGCCAGACTGATGAAGCTGTGTGTCAAGTGTTGCCAGACTGGTGAAACTGTGTCAAGTGTTGCCAGACTGGTGAAGCTGTGTGTCAAGTGTTGCCAGACTGGTGAAGGAGTGTTTCAAGTGTTGCCAGACTGGTGAAGGTGTGTGTCAAGTGTTGCCAGACTGGTGAAGGTGTGTGTCAAGTGTTGCCAGACTGGTGAAGCTGTGTGTCAAGTGTTGCCAGACTGGTGAAGTTGTGTGTCAAGAATTGCCAGACTGGTGAAACTGTGTGTCAAGTGTTGCCAGACTGGTGAAGTTGTGTGTCAAGAGTTGCCAGACTGGTGAAACTGTGTCAAGTGTTGCCAGACTGATGAAGCTGTGTGTCAAGTGTTGCCAGACTGGTGAAGTTGTGTGTCAAGAGTTACCAGACTGGTGAAACTGTGTCAAGTGTAGCCAGACTGATGAAGCTGTGTGTCAAGTGTTGCCAGACTGGTGAAGGTGTGTGTCAAGAGTTGCCAAACTGGTGAAACTGTGTGTCAAGTGTTGCCAGACTGGTGAAACTGTGTGTCAAGTGTTGCCAGACTGGTGAAGCTGTGTGTCAAGTGTTGCCAGACTGGTGAAGCCGTGTGTCAAGTGTTGCCAGACTGGTGAACGTGTGTGTCAAGTATTGCCAGACTGGAGAAGCTGTGTGTCAAGTGTTGCCAGACTGGTGAAGGTGTGTGTCAAGTGGCGTTGCCAGACTGGTGAACGTGTGTGTCAAGTATTGCCAGACTGGAGAAGCTGTGTGTCAAGAGTTGCCAGACTGGTGAAGTTGTGTGTCAAGAGTTGCCAGACTGGTGAAGGTGTGTGTCAAGTGGCGTTGCCAGACTGGTGAAGTTGTGTGTCAAGAGTTGCCAGACTGGTGAAACTGTGTTAAGTGTTGCCAGACTGGTGAAGCTGTGTGTCAAGTGTTGCCAGACTGGTTAAACTGTGTCAAGTGTTGCCAGACTGGTGAAGCTGTGTGTCAAGTGTTGCCAGACTGGTAAAGCTCTGTGTAAAGTGTTGCCAGACTGGTGAAGGTGTGTCAAGTGTTGCCAGACTGGTGAAGTTGTGTGTCAAGTGTTGACAGACTGGTGAAACTGTGTCAAGTGTTGCCAGACTGATGAAACTGTGTCAAGTGTTGCCAGACTGGTGAAGCTGTGTGTCAAGTGTTGCCAGACTGGAGAAGTTGTGTGTCAAGTGTTGCGAGACTGGTAAAGCTGTGTGTCAAGTGTTGCCAGGCTGGTGAAGTTGTGTGTCAAGTGTTGCAAGACTGGTGAAGCTGTGTGTCAAGTGTTGCCAGACTGGTGAAACTGTGTGTCAAGTGTTGCCAGACGGGTGAAGCTGTGTGTCTAGTGTTGCCAGACTGGTGAAGGTGTGCGTCAAGTGTTGCCAGACTGGTGAAGCTGGGTGTCAAGTGTTGCCAGACTGGTGAAGCTGAGTGTCAAGTTTTGCCAAACTGGTGAAGCTGTGTGTGGAGAAGTGTTACCAGACTGGCGAAGCTGTGTGTGGAGAAGTGTTACAAGATTGGTGACGTTGTGTGTGGAGAAGTGTTACCAGACTGGTGAAGCTGTGTGGGGAGAAGTGTTACCACGCTGGTGACGTTGTGTGTGGAGAAATGTTACCAGACTGGTGAAGCTGTGTTTGGATAAGTGTTACCAGACAAGTGAAGTTGTGTCTCGAGAAGTGTTACCAGAATAATGATGTTGTTTGTGGAGAAGTGTTACCAGACTGGTTAAGTTGTTTGTGGAGAAGTGTTACCAGACTGGTGAAGCTGTGTGTGGAGAAGTGTTACAAGACTGGTGAAGCTGTGTGTGGAGAAGTGTTACCTGACTGGAGAAGCTGTGTGTGGAGAAGTGTTACCAGACTGGTGAAGCTGTGTGTGCAGAAGTATTACCTCACTGGTGAAGATGTGAGTGGAGAAGTGTTACAAGACTGGTGAAGCTGTGCGTGGAGAAGTGTTACCAGACTGGTGAAGCTGTGTGTGCACAAGGGTTACCAGACTGGTGAAGCTGTGTGGAGAAGTGTTACCAGACTGGTGAAGCTGTGTGTGGAGAAGAGTTACCAGACCGGTGAAGCTGTGCGTGGAGAAGTGTTACCTGACTGGTGAAGCTGTGTGTGGAGAAGAGTTACCAGATTGGTGAAGCTGTGTGTGGAGAAGTGTTACCAGACTGGTGAAGCTGTGTGTGGAGAAGTGTTACCAAACTGGTGAAGGTGTGTGTGGAGAAGTGTTACCTGACTGGTGAAGCTGTGTGTGGAGAAGTGTTACCAGACTGGTGAAGCTGTGTGTGGAGAAGTGTTAACAGACTGGCGAAGCTGTGTGTGGAGAAGTGTTACAAGATTGGTGACGTTGTGTGTGGAGAAGTGTTACCAGACTGGTGAAGCTGTGTGGGGAGAAGTGTTACCAGGCTGGTGACGTTGTGTGTGGAGAAATGTTACCAGACTGGTGAAGATGTGTTTGGATAAGTGTTACCAGACAAGTGAAGTTGTGTCTCGAGAAGTGTTACCAGATTAATGATGTTGTTTGTGGAGAAGTGTTACCAGACTGGTTAAGTTGTTTGTGGAGAAGTGTTACCAGACTGGTGAAGTTGTGTGTTGAGAA